TATATGGCGGGCGTCAGGGAAAACCAAGGTCAGGCAGGAAGGATCAGCCGGTATGTGCCGAGTGGCTAACAAAAGAGGGGGGGACCCTGTAACCCCTGGCTCTGGGCTTCTGCTCCCTGAGGCCCAGCCCCCATCTTCCACTTAGAGGCCGGCCCACGTGAGGGGCCTATACACAGCACGATGCTGTGGAGGAGAGGGCCCATCTGGCCGCAGGACCCCTTCTCCACCTGGGTGCTCTCCTCTCTCCACCTTCCGGATCAAGGGGGGAAATTCAGCAGGGAGGGGAGTCAAGGACAGGCTGGCCCAGGACCCTGATGGCTTCGCTGGCGAGGATGGGGCCCTGCTCTCCCTGGGCGTGCAGTTCGCAGTCTCACTGGGCAGCCACAGCGAACCACGCGGGGCCTGTCAGACCCTCTGCTCAGCGCCTGCCCCGCTCCTGTCACCAGCAGCGAGGGGCCGGGGGGCTCTGTGCGGGGCTCAACTTCCGCTTCAGCCCTGACACGTCCCTCCCCTGCTGGGCACTGGCTCTGCCATCCCAAAAGGTTGGGTGGGAAAACAGACTAGAGGAACAGGACCTGGCCAAGGTGACGGGCTGAGAAGGCCGCCGTGGCCTCCGCACTAGATCCTAAGCTACGTCCATCCTCCAAGACGCGAGAACGGGCCAGGCCTACACCAGGTACTCGCTGAGGCTCTGCCCACGGTGACTGCCTGCTTCTTGCCAGTCCTAAGGTTCAACAGCAAAGTGCCTCCTCTGAGTACGCTTGGGGTGAAGAGGCAGCGAGAGGGAGGAGGGAAAGGGGAGGCGGAAGAGGCCGGCTGGGAGGTGGGCTGGGAGCAGCCGGCCCTGGTGGGGAATGCCTGCCATTCCTCAATCTGTGCCCACACAGCCGGGATCTTCCGCCCACCAGGAAAGGGAAATTGAAAGCATCCCCATCCGACCATGTGAGCATGGCCCAGGCCTGGGGATTAGAGGCCGAGCCCCTGGGGGAGGCTGGGGGCGGTGGGTGGCATGTGGCGATGCTCCTCATCAGAGGACAGGAAAGCTGCAGTTTCCTGTTTCCGGTGCTGGGGTCCCTGGGAGTGTCTCTCCTGGCAAGAGGAGGCAACAGGCAGTGCCGGTTTTATGTGGTTGGGGGGGGAGGGATCGCATGTCGGCCCCGAGATGCACAGAAGCCAGCCTGGGAGCCAGCCGGCCAGGGGCTCACGCAGAGGTCAGCGGATCTGCTGCGGAGATGGTGCCCGCCCTCTCCGCACTCACCCACCTTCCTGGCAGGTGGTGGGCTGCCAGGGTGGTGGGAAGCAGCCGGGACTTCTCTGCACTCGGCTCCAGAAGCCAGGCATCAGATTTCAAGGCCGCCTCGTTGGTTGTGAAATCGAGACAGGAGCCAGTCCCCGTTCTCTGAGCCCGTGTCCCCTGCCCAGCTCTGCCAGCCGTGGGTGCCCATGGCAGTCTCTGTGGCAGCCCCTGAGACCCCCATGGGCAGGGCCTGCTCTACCCTTGGTCCTTCCCAGCCAGCTCCGGACCCTTGTCTGGAGACCGGTCAGCATCCACAAGCAATGGGAGCCCTGATCTCTCTCTCCTGGGCCTCCTCAGCACCCAGCTGCTCTGTGACCGTGACCGGGGGCTGAGGGGGGTTAGGGGCCAGAGCCCCAGGGAAGGTCCAGGGGTGCAGGGAGAAATCCCTTTCCACGCCTGATCCAGCCTCCCCACCGTGGCTGCGCCTCCAGGCCGCTCTGCTTAGAACAAGCTTTCCCGGGCCCCACCCCAGGGACCCGAACAGGGAGTGAGGAGCTGGACAACCTCAGCACCAGGGGCCAGAGGATCAAAACCGGCCCTCAGTCCCTCCTGGCCGTGGCCCAGCCTCGTGGTAATTAGCAGAGCCTCCCTACCCGCCCTGGGGAGGCCGCTGCCAGGGACCACCAGCGAGGTAATGCGGTGCAGCTGCCGGCGGAACGGCCTTGCTGGGTCAGAGGCCGCCTGGGAGAGGCCGGGGCAGGAGATGAAGTGATCCGGGAGCTTCAAGGCAATGCCCACCCCCTCGGGGGACCCAGGGAATAGGCCCGTCTGATCGCGGACCAGAGCCTGCCTTACAGAAGAGGCTCCCAGAAGAATTTCTGACCCTGAGAGGTCACGAGTGAGGGACCTTCCCAGGCGGGAACTGTGGCTGCGCCCTTCCCCATGTGCGGCCACCCCCACATTTCAAACGCCGAGTGTGCAGGCAGCTGCTCTCCCAGTCCGGCTGGGAGATGAAAGGCCTTGCTCATCTCCGTGA